AAGATACACAATATATCCCTCCAAACTGCCAATATCCCAAACCCCTCCTTTAACCCCTTCAGGGTCAAAGGCCAAAATCTGAAGTGGTGCCCCAGTGTCCAAGAATTTTCCAAAAAAAAATTTGTTATTTTTTCTTATGAAATGGTAGAGAATCTTTTTGTGAAGGTAATAAAACAAAAAGTACGAAATTTGATGGAAAATTGACGAAATTATGCTCTCGCGAATTTTGATGTGTCAGCGATATTTACGAATCGGCGATTTTGCCGACTTTGACTTCCATTTTTAGGCCAATTACATCATTCCAGTCGACCAAATTCTTAGCTATTTTACTAGTATTACTTCTATTCTATCAATTGAGCACAAGAAATCGCCAGCAACTGTTTCAACTACAAAATAAAGTGATCGGAAATTGGTAATTTGGCCAATTTAACACAAAGTTCAAAATATTCCAATTTCAAAATAGCATCCAGAATAAACAATGCAGGTATTCCTGACACTAAACTAACATTTCCTAGGTTCATTAGTTACGTTTTGAGGCTTTACAAATAAATCCCATTTTGATTTTTTATTCACTAAGAATTTTTATTCACACCAAAAAATAGAAGATTTACTGTTAATACAATATTGTAATAATTGTATAAAATATCATCACCACATTTGTGAACGTATATTAGACCCACCAGCTGACGTGTATTAGACCCTGTGAGGTCCCTTTGTTTACTCTTGAATATCAGCAAAAAATTTAACATTTTCCCCTACTTTGAGCTCAGTTTCAAGCCATTCCAGTGCTAAAACCAATCAAATCATCTCTATTTCTTTAATATGTTTTTCCCTTCTATCAAATGATACCCAAAAAATTGCAAATACAACTATAAAAAACATACGAAAAAACACTGCAAAGTTGCTGTTTTAATCGAAAATCTTGGTTTCAGTTTTTTCTCTCATTATACACAGTGTGCTGCAGGATTTGTTTTATGTGGTACACACATACCACATAGATGTATTCTCTCATATCTAGGCCCAAGTGTACCACTCACAGTTTATCAGAGTGAGCTGAGCTCATGACGTAGATCTACGGTTTGGACCCTGAACGCAAAGCCGTAGATCTACGGGACGGACCCTGAAAGGGTTAAAGTGCGGGCATTGTACTTCCCATTTCCAGGACTCAAGTCCGACTATATGAAAATAACCGGTTTCCCTGAATCCCTTCACTAAATATTACCCTGCTCACACTCCAACAGATCGTCAGGTCCCAAGTATCATTCGTCTCCATTCACTCCTATCTAACACGCTCACGCACGCTTGCTGGAAGTCCAAACCCCTCGCCCACAAAACCTCCTTTACCCCCTCTCTCCAACCCTTCCGAGGACGACCCCTACCCCTCCTTCCTTCCCCTATAGAAATTTTTATGCTTTCCATGTCATTCTACTTTGATCCATTCTCTCTAAATGACCAAACCACCTCAACAACCCCTCTTCTGCCCTCTGACTAATGCTTTTATTAACTCCACACCTTCTCCTAATTTCCACACTCTGAATTTTCTGCATAATATTTACACCACACATTGCCCTTAGACAGGACATCTCCACTGCCTCCAACCGTCTCCTCGCTGCTGCATTTACCACCCAAGCTTCACACCCATATAAGAGTGTTGGTACTACTATACTTTCATACATTCCCTTCTTTGCCTCCATAGATAGCGTTTTTTGACTCCACATACAGTGGACCCCCGGTTAACGATTTTAATCCGTGCAAGAGGGCTCATCGTTATGCGAAATAATCGTTTATCGAATGAATTTTCCCATAAAATAATTGGAAAAAAAATTAATCGTGCAAGACACCAAAAGTATGAAAAAATTTTTTTTTACCACTGAAATTTAATTTTATACACCAAAACTGAAAGCATGCCAATTACATGACACTTACTTTTATTGAAATCTGGTGGATTGAGGGGATGGAGGAGGGAGAGCATTATCTTCTTACTGTTTAGAAGGGAACCTTCCTTAGGATTGGGAGGTGGGCAAGCCCTTTTGGGGTTACTTCCCTTCTTCTTTTAATCCCACCTAGCCCCCCCTTAGAGTCATTTGGACCTCTGTCGCCACAACAAATCTGTCCATAGAGCTCTTACCTCCGTTCCTTCAAGACTTTCCAAAAATGGGCCATAACATTGTCATTGAAATAGTCCAAGCACGCTTGCAACAGCTGTGTCAGGGTGATTTTCATCTATAAAGGTTTCATTAAAAACCCCCTCTGCACACATTTCCTTAAACTTTGAAGTAGGGGACAATGGATTCCCCCAACTGGATAGGCTTCTCAGGGTTACCCAAACCTTCAAAATTTTCTTTAAATTTTATATAATTTCACCCCTTTTTACCACAGGGGTTGGGACTAAAACTTTTTTGGGCCCAGGGCACTTATTTTTTCCCGAAAAAAGCACCGAAAATACTGTAATAAAAACGAAATATTCCGAGTTAGTTTGGATGTTTTCCCCGGGGCTGGCTGGGAAACAATGGGCGGAGCGGGAAGTGAGGTGGCTGAGGGCACATTGGACGCGTCTCGGACGAAAATCGGATGCGGGTTTTTAAAAGGTATGGCGGCAAAAATTTTGCGATAAAATAAGTTATCGGAAAATCGCTATGCATGCCCCGTTATGCGGGGGTCCACTGTATACCTCAACGCACCACTCACCTTTTTTCCCTCATCAATTCTATGATTAACCTCATCCTTCATAAACCCCATAAACTCCCAAGTACAGTGGACCCTCGACTAACGCTATTAATCCGTTCCTGAGAGCTCATCGTTAGTCAGAATAATTGTTAGTCAAGTTAATTTTCCCCATAAGAAATAAAGGAAATCAAATTAATCCGTGCAAGACACCCAAAAGTATTGAAAAAAAAAAAATTAACACATGAAATATTAGTTTTAATACACACAAACTGAAGAAGACATGCACAGTTACATGACACTTACCTTTATTGAAGATCTGGTGATGATTGATGGGATGAGAAGAGGGGAGTGTGTTGATGGTCTTAGTGTTTAGAAGGGGAATCCTCTTCCATTAGGACTTGAGGTGGCAAGTCCTTTTTCGGGGTTACTTCCCTTCTTCTTTTAATGCCACTAGGACCAGCTTGAGAGTCACTGGACCTCTGTCGCACAACATATCTGCCCATAGAGGCCTGTACCTCCCGTTCCTTTATGACATTCCTAAAGTGTTTCACAACATTGTCAGTGTCACCATTAAACACTTGTTCAGGTTTCAGTCCTTCACTGTCTATGTACTCCTTGAATTCCTGCACATATTTTTCAGCTGCTTTTTGGTCCAAACTGGCAGCCTCACCATGCCTTATCACACTATGTATGCCACTACGATTCTTAAATCTCTCAAACCAACCTTTGCTGGCCTTAAATTCACTCACATCACCACTAGTTGCTGGCATTTTTCTAATTAAATCGTCATGCAACTTCCTAGCCTTTTCACATATGATCGCTTGAGAGATGCTATCTCCTGCTATCTGTTTTTCGTTTATCCATACCAATAACAGTCTCTCAACATCTTCTATCACTTGCGATCTCAGTTTCGAAAACATAGTTTCACCTTTGGCAAGAACAGCTTCCTTGATTGCCGTTTTCTTGGCCACAATAGTAGCGATGGTTGATTGGGGTTTTGTGTACAGCCTGGCCAGCTCGGAGACATGCACTCCACTTTCATACTTAGCAATGATCTCTTTCTTCATATCCATAGTAATTCTCACCTTTTTTGCTGTAGGGTTGGCACTAGAAGCTTTCTTGAGGCCCATGGTGACTTATTTTGCAGGTGCAATCACTAAAAAGGCTGTGATAATATGAAATGTTCCGACTGTATGCTTGGAAGCGACCGCGGTGGCTGGCTGGCTTGTAAACACTGGCCAGAAGTGGACGCGTCTCAGACAGAACGAATAGTGTTGGTAGAGTTTTTTAGCACTAATCGAGGCAAAATTTTTGCGATAAAATGTATCGCTAGTCAGATTTATCGTTAATCGATGCCATCGCTGATCGAGGGTCCACTGTATCTGAAAACATTCACTTCTTCCATACTCCTCCTCCCCAATTTGATATCCAATTTTTCTTTATCTAAATCATTTGATACCCTCATCACCTTACTCTTTTCTATGTTCACTTTCAACTTTCTACCTTTACACACATTCTCAAACTCATCTACTAACCTTTGCAATTTTTCTTTAGAATCTCCCATAAGCACAGTATCATCAGCAAAAAATAACTGTGTCAATTCCCATTTTGTATTTGATTCCTCATAATTTAATCCCACCCCTCTCCCGAACACCCTAGCATTTACTTCTTTTACAACCCCATCTATAAATATATTAAACAACCATGGTGACATTACACATCCCTGTCTAAGACCTACTTTTACCAGGAAGTATTCTCCCTCTCTTCTACACACCCTAACCTGAGCCTCACTATCCTCATAAAAACTCTTAACAGCATTTAGTAACTTACCACCTATTCCATATACATGCAACATCTGCCACATTGCTCCCCTATCCACTCTATCATATGCCTTTTCTAAATCCATAAATGCAATAAAAGCTTCCCTACCTTTATCTAAATACTGTTCACATATATGCTTCCATGTAAACACTTGATCTACACATCCCCTACCCACTCTGAAACCTCCTTGCTCATCCGCAATCCTACATTTTGTCTTACCTCTAATTCTTTCAATTATAACCCTACCGTATACTTTTCCTGGTATACTCAGTAAACTTATTCCTCTATAATTTTTACAATCTCTTTTGTCCCCTTTCCCTTTATATAAAGGGACTATACACGCTCTCCGCCAATCCCTAGGTACCTTCCCCTCTTTCATACATTTATTAAACAAAAGTACCAACCACGCTTGTACATGCACGTGCAGCATGACCTAAGTGTAAGTAGAAGTAGCAAGATATACCTGTCATCCCGTGTGCTTATTATCATTACCAAAAATAAATAAAACTTACCATCTTTCACTTCAATGTAGTTGTCGTCTGCGAAGTTATCCGAGACATTGTCGTCAGCGTCCTGGAAGTGTTAAGTAAGCTCATAATAATGAACAACTTTCAGTGGTGACATTAAAGAAGTAATTACAATAAGCTCTCTTATCCCTTCCCTTGTCCAGGCTCTCAAAATCAAAAGAGCTCACAGTGCCCACATTTAAAATAAACTGATTTGATGGAAAATTTATGGAGTTACTCAGGTGCAAAGTTAGCGGCCTGGGCGCAATTTGTGCACTGGCGAATTTGCTGAATTTGAGTCAGAGCTGGAACAAATACAGAGATCGTTTACAGCTCACATTGAGCCAGTAAAGCACCTAAACTACTGGGAACGCCTGCAAGTCTTGAACATGTACTCATTGGAGTGGAGGAGAGAGAGGTACATGATAATATATACCTGGAAGGTACTTGAGGGCTTGGTCCCAAATCTGCACACTGCCATAACAACATACTGGAGTGAGAGATATGGGAGGAAGTGTAAAATAAACCCAGTGAGGAGCAGGGGTGCTGTGGGGACAATAAGGAACACTGTATCAACATCCGGGGTCCCAGGCTTTTCAACATCTTACCAGATGATATCAGAAACACTGCTGGAACAAGTGTTGAAGCCTTCAAGAGGAAACTAGACAAGTATCTTCACCAGGTGCCAGATCAACCAGGCTGTGGTGGATATGTGGGGCAGCAGGCCTCCAGCAGCAACAGCCTGGTTGACCAGGCAAGCACCAGACGAGCCTGGCCCATGGCTGGGCTCAGAGAGCAGATATACTCTCAAAATTCTTCAAAGGTATATATCAAAGGTATATATCTATTTTATGCCAGTTTCGTTGCTCAATATGACTAAATTCTTTGCTATTTTGCTAGTATGCCTTCCACTCTATTGATCGAGAACAAGAAACCACCCATTCAATTACCAAAACTACCCAATAAAGTGAGCAGAAGTCAGTAATTTGGCAATTTTACACAAAATTTAAATATTCAGATTTAACCCTTAAACTGTCCAAACGTAGATCTACGTCCACGTGCGGGGGGCTCCGAACGTAGATCTACTTTTTTTTACATGCTTTCAAATGGGGAAAATCAAGGTCGGAGGGCTACGCACATGAACATAGATCTACGTTTGGACAGTTTAAGGGTTAAAAACAAGTCCAAAATAAATACTAGACATTCCAGGCACTATAACAATATTTTCTCTGTTGATTAATCATGTCCCCAGGCCTCTCCTATATTAAACCTGCCTTTCATTTCGAATTCACAAAAAAATCAAAGATTTACCCTATTTCTAGAAAAATATAACCAAGAATGATTAGTTGTGGTTTACAGCATCCCAATAATTAAATCAGACTTATTAAAAACCTATAAAACAAACCAGGGGGGTTTTGGGGAGGGGAGGCCTTGCCCACCCTCAGTAATACAAGCAAAACCCGAATATTTCCGCTACTCTGAGTCCAATTTCAAGCTACAGTGGACCCTCGAATTTAGTCGTGCCTTTTCTGTATGCAAAACTATTTTTATTATCTATAAAATGTATGTTTTGTTAATATTTCCCATAGGAAATAATGTAAATCCAATTAAACCATTCCAGACACCCAAAAATATTAACAAAAAATACATTTTATAGATAATAAAAATAGCTTTGCATACAGAAAAGGCACGACTAAATTCGAGGGTCCACTGTACTTCTGGTCCTGGAACCAACCAAAATCATCTCTTTTATAGTTTGTCCTCCATTCTGAGAAAGGAGAGAATAGAACAATAAAACTCACCTTAGAAAAGAATGTAAGCACTCTAAAAAATGTTACTCTCCTGAAAAAGTGGCAAGTTTGTGAACACACATTTTCAACCTAATTTACAAAAATTTTAACTCGTAAACGGTCCAAACGTATATATAAGTTTTTTCAACATTTGAATGTAAAAAAAGTAGATCTTCTTTTTGTTTTTGAAAATGTGTAAAAAAATTTGATCTACTTTTTTTTTTGTTACATTTGAAAATATGTAAAAAAAACTTAGATCTACTTTTGTAGCACTACGTAAATCTGCTTGGACCGTTTACGGGTTAAAGGTGCTCTTCGACTTACGACGAAGTTCCATTCCTAAGGCCACGTCGGTAAACAATGGGTTCATTGGAACATAACACCACTGTAAGCCGAGGATCACTTGTACACAGGAACCCTAATTGAGGATCTACTGCTTAGAATTTTCTATACAAGCACATGATCATATGTACCATAGTTTTCTATACAAACATCTTGTTTATATGATGTAAGCATTTAAGAAAACCAACAAGTGGCTTCCTCAGTCCAGTACAAAGATGGTGGAAGAGAAGGCATTTGAGGTAATCAGTCCCTCTGTACTTGACTGAGAAGGTCACTTGCTGGTGAAACTTTTAAGAACATAAGAAAGAAGGAACACTACGGCAGGCCTACTGGCCCATGTGAGGCAGGTCCATGTCACCCCCCAGTTTAGACCAATGACCCACCTAGTCAGGTCACATCCACTTAAGGAAGGGGCACGACATCAGACCCACTAGCACAAGCTTGTCAGGTCCAACTCACACCCACCCACACCCACTCATGTATGTATCTAACCTATTTTTAAAACTACACAATGTTTTAGCTTCTATGACGGTACTGGTGAGTTTGTTCCACTCATCCACAACTCTATTACCAAACCAGTGCTTTCCTATATCCTTCCTGAATCTGAATTTTTCCAACTTGAAACCATTGCTGCGAGTCCTGTCTTGGCTAGATATTTTTAGCACGCTATTTACATCCCCTTTATTTATTCCTGCTTTCCATGTATACACCTCAATCATATCCCCCCTAATTCTATGCCTTTCTAGAGAGTGCAGATTCAGGGCCTCAGTCTATCCTCATAGGGAAGATTTCTGATACATGGGATCATCTTTGTCATCCTCCTTTGTATGTTTTCCAGAGCATTTATATCCATTCTGTAATACAGTGACCAGAACTGTGTAGCATGATCTAAATGAGGCCTAACCAGAGTTATATAGAATTGAAGAACAGCCTAAGGACTCCTATTATTTATGCTCCTTGATATGAAGCCAAGGATTTTGTTCGCTTTATTGCAAACACTTACGCACTGTTGTCTGGGTTTTAGATTACTGATAACAAGAACTCCCAAATCCTTTTATGCAATCAGTAATATTAAGATCTACATTATTTAGTTTATATGTAGCATGGTTATTTTCTTGTCCCACGTTTAGAACTTTGCATTTGTCTACATTAAACTGCATCTGTCACTTCTCCGACCAATGCATCAGTCTATTAAAATCTTCCTGGAGTGCTCCAATGTCCTCATTACAATGAATTAGGCGACATATTTTGGTGTCATCACCAAACTTGTTTATGTTGCTATTTATTCCATCATCAATGTCATTTATATAAATTGTGAACAACAAAGGGACCATCACTGGTCCCTGTGGAACACCATTCGTGACGAGCCCCCACTCGAATTTCTCCCCATTGATGCAAATTCTCTGCTGCTTATGTCAACCACGCCTCTACCCAGGAAAAAAATTCTCCTGTTCCATGTGCCTTAATTTCCTCAAAAACCTCTTATGTGTAACTCTATCAAAAGCCTTATTTAAGTCCATATACAGCCTCTCCTCTCTTAGTGATGTACTCGTTTACCAACGCCTTGGACTAACGATGGGCTTTCTGACCAGTACAGTGGACCCCCGCATAACGATCACCTCCCAATGCGGCCAATTATGTAAGTGTATTTATGTAAGTGCATTTGTACGTGTATGTTTGGGGGTCTGAAATGGACTAATCTACTTCACAATATTCCTTATGGGAACAAATTTGGTCAGTACTGGCACCTGAACATACTTCTGGGGTGAAAAAATATCGTTAACCGGGGTCCACTGTATTCATACCTGAATACTAATGTATATTTGAGCTGATGTCCTGTATTCTGTTTATTTCAATATACAGTACACTACTGTATATACATTTAAAAATATACCAGATATGTTATAAATGGTGCAAAGGTGACATTAAAAAATATCAAAGATGGTTAACACAAACTCACTACCATTATAGTATGCTCCTTGCTTAGTGAAGAATTCATTTACCAACGTGGTCTCAGGAACAGAACTCTGTCTTTAAGTAAGGAGAGGCTGTAATAATAAGTGTTCAGCAATGTTTACAATATAAACATGTCAATTCCACTCACCGTTGGTGGTTTAATATCCATAATTTTCCGCAGTTTGCAAGGCCTCTCATATCTCCGATTCAAGCAAGCGTCAATTTCATCCAGCAATTTAAAATCAGCGAGCTTCGAAGACCTCTTTCTTACCCGGCCTGAACGTGAGACACCTTTGGGGAAAGAAACATTACCTAAGGAATACAAAGACAATATTGTGACTGGCACAACACAAGTGCTCATCGGTTTACAATATTTCAATTTTACGATGGCGCAAAAGCAATTACTTTGGAGATGAAACGTGATATAATTACCCAGCATGAAGGCGGTAAGTCCCTAACTTGTACAGTAGAACCTCAAATTTCAAACGTATCGCTTATCGAACTCTTCGAAAATTGACCGTTTTTCGAACCAACTTTGTCCCAATTATCGAACTCGCCCCTATTTTTGAACTGCTGGGTACCGGACCTGTCCACCAGCCCACTCTGTCCACGTCCCCGCACAGGCGCCATAAGCTAGTCTGGCTTTGTTGATGCCCGAGTGAACACTAACCTGCGCTCTCATTCAAACATTTTCCAATTATTTCGTTGTGTTTAGTGCTTGTGGGACTGTGAAATAAGCTGCCCAAAGAAACTTGCTAGTGGTACCCCTGTGGTAAAGAAAAGGAAAAACACCAAAAGAGGGTGAAAAAGGGAAAATTAAACAGAAGAAATGAGAGGGGTGTGGGATTGTTGAGTTTTCCCAGGATGTATAAAAAACAAGTCAACATCGGTTTATCCTGGCAAAGAAAGAAAAAATTCAAGGAAGCTGATTTTGTAAAAGGGGGTTTTTAATTATTTTTTTTTTTTTTAAATAAACCCCGGCCGATTCCCAAAAAGGGGAAAGGGTTGGCCCAAAAAAGGGGAAAAAAAACTTTCACCATCTTTCACTCCATCACTGTCTTGCCAGAAGGGTGTTTTAAACACTACTTTTTTTTAAATTTGCAACATTAACACCCCCCCCCTTTCAGAGTGCAGGCACTGTATTCCCATCCCCCCGGACTCAAGCCCGGGCCTGCCTTTTTCCCCCTGAACCCCTTTCAAAAATGTTACTTTGTTTCACACCCAACAGCACGTCAATTTTTAAAAACCATTTTTTCTCCATTCACTCCTATAAAAAACACACTCACGCTTCCCTGCGGGAAAGTCCAACCCCCTCGCACCAAAACCCCCTTTTCCCCCCCTTCCCCCCAAACCCCTTCCTGGGCCCCGACCCCTACCCCCCCTTTCCCTTTCCCCTACGGGACTGATAAAACTCTTGAAGTTTTTTCCTGTTTCGCTCCATTCTCTTACATGTCCAAAACCACCTCAAAAACCCTTTCCTCGGGCCCTCGGGGAAAAAGTTTTGGGAAATCCCGCACCCCCCTCCTAACTTTCCCAAACTACGAATTTTTCTGAATTAATTCACCCACACTTTGCCCTCAGACATGACACCCTCCACTGCCTCCCCTTCTCCTCGCGGGCAAATTCATCCCCCCACGCTTCAAAAACCCCATATAAGGCGTTGGTAAAAATACTCTCATACTTTTCCCCTCTTTGCCTCCAAGGACAAATTTCTTTTTTTTCCACAGACTCCTAATTGCACCACTCATTTTTTTTTTCCCTCATAATTTTTTTATTACCTAATTTTTTCATAGCCCCATCCGCTGACACGTCCACCCCCAAAATATTAAAATCGTTCACCTCCCCCCATACCTCTCCCTCCAATCTGATATTCAATTTTTAATCACCTAATCTTTTTTTTCCTTTTTAACCCCCTTTTTTTTCCCTTTTTTTTTTTTTCCCCCCAAACCCAAAAACCCCCCAAAAAAACCCCTTTTTTAAAATTTAAAAAACCCCTTTTCATCAGCAAAGAGCAGCTGTGGAAACCCCCTTTTGGTTTTTTTTTTTCCCAAACCCCCCCCAAAACCCCCCTTTTTTTTTTTTCCCCCTCTATAAATTTTAAACAAACCCCGGGAAAAAATTTTTTTTTTTGGGAAAAAATTTTCCCCTTTTTAAAAAAACCCCCCCCCCCCTTAAAAAACCCCCCATTTTTAAAACCCCCCCCCCCAAACCCCCCCCCCCCCCCCCCCTTTTCCCCCTTTTAAAAAAAAACCCCCTTTTTTTTTCCCTTTTAAATTTTTTTTTAAACCCCCTTAAAAACCCGGGCCCCCCCCCCCCTTTTTTTCCTTTCCCCTTTTTTTCCCTTTTTTTTTTTTTAAAAAATTTTTTTAAAATTTTTTTCCCCCCCAAAAAAATTTCCCCCTTTTTTTTTTCCCTCTTTTTTTCCCCTTTTTTTTTTAAAAAAATTAAATTTTTGCCAATCCCCCCCCAAAAAAAAAAAATTTTTTTAAAAAAAACCCAAAAAAAAATTTTTTTTTTAAAAATTTTTTTTTTTAAAAAAACCCCCCCTTTTTTTTTTTAAAAATTAAAAATTTTTTAAAAAAAAATAAAAAAATTTTTTAAAAAAAAATTTTTTTTTAAAATTTTTAAAAATTTTTAAAATTTTTTTAAAAAATTTTTAAAAATTTAAAAAAAAAAAAAAAAAAATTAAAAAAAAAAAATTTAAAAAAATTTTCCCCTTTTTAAAAAAAAACCAAACCCCCCCCCCTTTAAAAACCCCCCCCCCCTTTTCCCAAAAAAAAAATTTTTTAAACCCCCCCCTCCCGGGCCCCCCAAACCCCCCCCCCCCCCCCCCAAACCCCCCCCCCAACCCCCCAAATTTAAAAAAATTTTAAAAAACCCCCCCCCCCAATTCCCCCTTTTTCCCCCCCCACCCCCCCCCCCCCCCCCCCCAAAAAAAATTTAAAAAAAACCCAACCACCTTTTTACCCAACCCTTTTTACCCCCCCCCAAACCCCCCAAACCCCCCCTTAAAAACCCCCCCCCCTTTTTTTTAAAACCCCCCCCCCCCCCCCCCCCCCCCCCCCCCCCCCCCCCAAAACCCCCCAAAAAGGCCCCCAAAAAACCCCCCCCCCCCCCCCCAAAAAAAACCCCCCCCCCAAAACCACTCCTCCAACTTCCCCCACCCCCCAACGGGCCTCCTCACCCTAAAAGATTTTAAACCTCCTGCCCTAACACAAAATCACAGCTTCCCTATCCTCAATTTTTAACAATTCCTCAAAATTTCCTTCCATTTTTCCCAATACCCAACCTCCATTTAATAATCTCCTCTCCTATTTTTAACGCAAATCCTTTTTTCTCTAGGTTTTCTTAACTTTTTTAAACCACTCCAAAATTTTTTTTTATTTTCAAAAAAATTTGTTGATAACATCTCACCCCCCTCTCTCTTTTGCCTCCTTTTTACATTGCTTCACCACTTTCTTAACTTCTCCTTTTTTTCTCCAAATACCTTTCCCTCCTTCCCCTCACTTCATTTTGAAAAAAACTTCTCTAGCTAACTTTTTCCCCCACTACTCTCTTTACATCATCTTTCCCCACCAATCCTCCTTTTCCCTCCGCCCCCACTTCCTTAACCACAAACTTCTCGAACACTTAACCTAAATTTTTTAAAAACCTCCCCCATACCTCTTCGCCCCATTCCCCTTGCTCTCATTGCCCATCTATCCTCCAATAGCTGTTTTTTATTTTACCCTAATGCCCTTTTATTTTAAAACCTTCACCTCCTCTTCCCTGATTTTTCTATTCTCCTTGTACCCCATCACCTTTTACTCTCATATAGCACAACAAAAGTGATCTGTATATCTGTGGCCCCCTAAAACATTACCCCTGAAGTCTACTCAACAGTCTTTTATTCCCAATACATAACCCAAAACAAACACGGGCATTTCCCCCCTACACATATCGTGTAACTTTTTACCCCTTTTTTTCTTAAAATATGTTTTACCTATAACTAAACCCCTTTCTTACAAAGTTCAATCAAAGGGGCCCCCTTTTATCATTTACACCTGGCACCCCAAACTTACCTACCAAAACCCCTCTAAAATTTCTCCTACTTTGCATTCAAGTCCCCACCAAATTACCCCTCTCATTTGGGTTTTCAAAGGCTCCTAACATTCACTTAACATCTCCCAAAATCTCTCCTCTCCTCTCATTCCTCTTTTCCCAGGTGCATACACGCTTTTTAGACCCCTTTCCGCATCCAACCTTTTTACTTTAATCCACATAATTCTTGAATTTACACATTCAATTCTTTTTTTCCCCTTTCCCATAACTGATCATTTAACTTTACTGCTACCCCTTCCTTTGCTCTAACCTCCAATACCCCAGATTTAACCCCTTTTTATTTCCCCCCCGAAACCTCCTCGTTTTAAATATGCTAACCAAAAAAAAAACCACAACAATCGATCGGGTTGAGAATTTTGCTGGTGTGGATAAAGGGATAAAGAATAGCAAGTGATATGTTTCAGAGACCATTTTTTGTTTTTTTTGGTAGACAGGGGGCCCCGGACTTAAAGTTGGTCCAGTGGCTTTAAAAACAGAGAAGGGAAGTAACCCCAAGGGGGCTTTCCTGAATCCTCATGGAGGGGGTTTTCCCCCTTCCAAAAACAAACCCCCAACCCCCTCTCTCCTCCCCCCTATCTTCCAGATACCACACCAATCTTCAATAAAGGGTAAGTAAAAATGTTTTTTTATTCTTATTTAAATTTTAAATAATAATTGTACACTATATCTTGTGTGTATCAAAACATAATGTATTACTATCTAAAAATGTTTTTTTTTTTTTGTGAATATTTTGGGTTTCTGAAGGGATTACTTGTTTTTCCATTATTTTAGGGGAAATACAGTACTGTTTTCCCTTTTCAAATTTTTTTGACTTTAGAACAGTCCCGGAAAAATTTAAAAGTTAAATTTGAGGTTTCACTTTTTTAATTTAATTTCCAATACTAGTATTTAGTTAGAGTAATTTTTTGTTTATTTACTTTTTGGTGACGGTATTTACTTTTTATTTATTTATAATCTTTTTATATTCATTTAAAATATTTTCTCTTAACACATTTTCAGAACCAAACTCCATCGTAAGTCAAAGACTACCTGTACAGAAATAACCCCACACACAGAAGAAAAAATTTTTATTAAAACAGGGGAGGATCGCTAAACCTGTAGATTATACAATGCATTGGGGGGGGGAAAAGGTTTGGGAAGGTCTTCAGGCTTAATTTGGGGGAACTGGAGCACAGATCCAATGCCCCAGA